GTCATAGAGTCACAACATGCAGACGTCATAGAGTCACAACAAGCAGACGTCATAGAGTCACAACAAGCAGACATCATAGAGTCACAACAAGCAGACGTCATAGAGTCACAACAAGCAGACGTCATAGAGTCACAACAAGCAGGCTTCATAGAGTCACAACAAGCAGGCGTCATAGAGTCACAACATGCAGACGTCATAGAGTCACAACAAGCAGGCTTCATAGAGTCACAACAAGCAGACGTCATAGAGTCACAACAAGCAGGCTTCATAGAGTCACAACAAGCAGACATCATAGAGACACAACAGACATCATAGAGTCACAACAAGCAGACATCATAGAGTCACAACAAGCAGACATCATAGAGTCACAACAAGCAGGCGTCATAGAGTCACAACAAGCAGACATCATAGAGTCACAACAATCAGACATCATAGAGTCACAACAAGCAGACATCATAGAGTCACAACAGACATTGAGTCACAACAAGCAGACATCATAGAGTCACAACAAGCAGACGTCATAGAGTCACAACAGACATCATAGAGTCACAACAAGCAGACATCATAGAGTCACAACAAGCAGACATCATAGAGTCACAACAAGCAGACATCATAGAGTCACAACAAGCAGGCGTCATAGAGTCACAACAAGCAGACATCATAGAGTCACAACAAGCAGACGTCATAGAGTCACAACAGACATCATAGAGTCACAACAATCAGACATCATAGAGTCACAACAAGCAGACATCATAGAGTCACAACAGACATTGAGTCACAACAAGCAGACATCATAGAGTCACAACAAGCAGACGTCATAGAGTCACAACAGACATCATAGAGTCACAACAAGCAGACATCATAGAGTCACAACAAGCAGACATCATAGAGTCACAACAAGCAGGCGTCATAGAGTCACAACAAGCAGACATCATAGAGTCACAACAAGCAGACGTCATAGAGTCACAACAGACATCATAGAGTCACAACAAGCAGACATCATAGAGTCACAACAAGCAGACATCATAGAGTCACAACAAGCAGGCGTCATAGAGTCACAACAAGCAGACATCATAGAGTCACAACAAGCAGACATCATAGAGTCACAACAAGCAGACATCATAGAGTCACAACAAGCAGACATCATAGAGTCACAACAAGCAGACATCATAGAGTCACAACAAGCAGACATCATAGAGTCACAACAAGCAGGCGTCATAGAGTCACAACAAGCAGACATCATAGAGTCACAACAAGCAGACATCATAGAGTCACAACAAGCAGGCGTCATAGAGTCACAACAAGCAGACATCATAGAGTCACAACAAGCAGACGTCATAGAGTCACAACAGACATCATAGAGTCACAACAAGCAGACATCATAGAGTCACAACAAGCAGGCGTCATAGAGTCACAACAAGCAGACATCATAGAGTCACAACAAGCAGGCGTCATAGAGTCACAACAAGCAGACATCATAGAGTCACAACAAGCAGACGTCATAGAGTCACAACAGACATCATAGAGTCACAACAAGCAGACATCATAGAGTCACAACAAGCAGACATCATAGAGTCACAACAAGCAGGCGTCATAGAGTCACAACAAGCAGACATCATAGAGTCACAACAAGCAGACATCATAGAGTCACAACAAGCAGACATCATAGAGTCACAACAAGCAGACATCATAGAGTCACAACAAGCAGACATCATAGAGTCACAACAAGCAGACATCATAGAGTCACAACAAGCAGGCGTCATAGAGTCACAACAAGCAGACATCTTAGAGTCACAACAAGCAGACATCATAGAGTCACAACAATCAGACATCATAGAGTCACAACAAGCAGACATCATAGAGTCACAACAGACATTGAGTCACAACAAGCAGACATCATAGAGTCACAACAAGCAGACATCATAGAGTCACAACAAGCAGACATCATAGAGACACAACAGACATCATAGAGTCACAACAAGCAGACGTCATAGAGTCCACAACAGACATCATAGAGTCACAACAAGCAGACATCATAGTCACAACAAGCAGACATCATAGAGTCACAACAAGCAGACATCATAGAGTCACAACAATCAGACATCATAGAGTCACAACAAGCAGACACCATAGAGTCACAACAAGCAGACATCATAGAGTCACAACAAGCAGACGTCATAAAGTCACAACAGAAATCATAGAGTCACAACAAGCAGACATCATAGAGTCACAACAAGCAGGCGTAATAGAGTCACAACAAGCAGACATCATAGAGTCACAACAATCAGACATCATAGAGTCACAACAAGCAGACATCATAGAGTCACAACAAGCAGGCGTAATAGAGTCACAACAAGCAGACATCATAGAGTCACAACATTCAGACATCATAGAGTCACAACAAGCAGACATCATAGAGTCACAACAAGCAGACACCATAGAGTCACAACAAGCAGACATCATAGAGTCACAACAAGCAGACATCATAGAGTCACAACAAGCAGACATCATAGAGTCACAACAAGCAGGCGTCATAGAGTCACAACAAGCAGACATCATAGAGTCACAACAATCAGACATCATAGAGTCACAACAAGCAGACGTCAGAGAGTCACAACAAGCAGACATCATAGAGTCACAACAAGCAGACGTCATAGAGTCACAACAAGCAGACGTCATAGAGTCACAACAAGCGGACATCATAGAGTCACAACAAGCAGACATCATAAAGTCACAACAAGCAGACATCATAGAGTCACAACAAGCAGACATCATAGAGTCACAACAAGCAGACATCATAGAGTCACAACAAGCAGACATCATAGAGTCACAACAAGCAGACATCATAGAGTCACATAAACCTCAGATGGAAATGACCAGAAGAAACTCAGAGAAAACATTGGTAAAACAGTAAATTGTTGAAATAAATATTGCGATACTTTGCTCTACTGTATTGATTTAATTGAGAAAGTGAAATATCGCGATACTGAACAGAATCGATGGCTTCCTCCACCAGTGACTGAACCATGGACTGCTTTTGTGTCTGTGACTGACGCTAAAGGCAAAGACTGTTGAGAATAAAATCACATCAACAACAGCTCGTCTCTTTCTAATGAGTAAACGCCGCCGTTAAAGGTGCGGGGTTAAGTACGGCACGACTTTGGTAATGGCTTCCAGACCGAGCTGATCCAGGCCGATTCTGGATCCGAGCTGCATCAGATGAAGACCTCAACACACACCTCCCGAAAATAGACTTTGGCTGAAAGCTATGTGTGTGTCTGTGTGTATCTGTATGTTTATGTGTGTCTGTGTGTATCTGTGTGTCTGTGTGTATCTGATGTCTCTGTGTGTATGTGTGTATCTGTGTGTATGTGTGTATCTGTGTGTCTGTGTGTATCTGATGTCTCTGTGTGTATGTGTGTATATGTGTGTATCTATGTGTCTGTGTGTGTGTGTGTGTGTGTGTGTGTGTGTGTATGTGTGTGTCTGTGTATATCTATGTATCTGTGTGTGTGTCTGTGTGTATCTGTGTGTGTGTATCTGTGTGTCTGTGTGTATCTATGTGTCTGTGTGTATCTGTGTGTGTGTCTGTGTGTATCTATGTGTCTGTGTGTATATATGTGTCTGTGTGTATCACTTATAATTTCCATATGCTCAACAATAAAACATTGTCTTTATATGAAGTAAATGGGGAATGGTTTCCAGTGTGTATCTGGATGGAGTGAAGCGTCCTGTGGGGACTATTCCCAGAACACAGGGATCTGAGTCCGAAGGAAGTGAGGGACGGAGCCACACGTAGACCTGGTCAGGAAGGGCTGGCTCAGACCTGGCTCAGGAAGGCCTGGCTCAGACCTGGCTCAGACCTGCTCATTGTCTCACAGCCTCATGTCTCACTTTAGCTGCGAGTCCCACTTTGTCCCCCCATGGCTCTTCCTGCTCCATGCTCTGACTGCTGTAGGATTGAACTTCTTACTTTCTGCATCCAAAGCCAGTTATCCTGTCAGAGTCAATTCTGCCTGATGTGAGAGCTTCATGTGATCTGAGACAATAGGGCTATAAACAACGTGGTGCTGAGTTGTGTGGGGCCGCAGCAGTAAAAGCAGAGCTCAGTGGAGGAGTGCTGTGGAATTTGCTAATGGCTCATAGAGATGAACCCTCGCCCCTCCCCCAGCCCCGCTGCAGACCCTTCCCCCTCACAACATTTGACGTCAGGTCTGCTCTGTATTTGGTTAAACTGAGCCTAAACCCACAGTAGAAAGCCTGAGTTAGCTAAAGGTGAAGCAGGGTTTGTTGGCCTGAACCGTGCGTCTCCACCTTAAAGGCGGTTGTTAATGGGCCGGCTGGTCATTAAGCTCTCACAGACTGAAAGGAATGGGGCCATGGGCCTGGCTTAAATCCTCTGTGCCAATAGACTCTGTGAAGCAAAATAATGGCATCAGTGCGTGTGTGAGTTAATGGGAGCTGATAGCATGAAGGCTGGGGGGTCAGCAGGTCACAGGCTTGTGCTAAGTTGTCAGAGAGCTGAATGCTGTCCCCAGGCCCACAGCGGGGGTGCGAAGCAGGGGAGGGGTGGAGACCCCCCTCCACTTTCTGTGGAATGAGGAGAAGAAGAGGAAGAGAGGAGAGGCCGCCTGCAGTCTGTGGACTCTGGGTCTGATACAGTCACCATGCTACATACAGTAGTGTGAAGCGTGCTCACAGAGGAGAGCTACAGAGGAGAGCTGCCTAGGGGAGCTGTAAGTCATGTGGAGGCCTGAGGCCTGTCACTGCTCTGATTTAGTCCAAAGAGGCTCCTCGGAGCCAGCTGCAGCAGAATCGGTCAGAACTGGGATTAATGCTACACATAGTAATTTATGTCCTGGACACATAGTATCAGGAACAACATCTGTTACTCAGGCCCTGCAGTGCTCCCTGGAGGCAGAGGCATGATAGCACAAATATTTGTGATGAACAACATCTGTTGATTCAGTTTCAGCCCTGTCAGAAGCACCACACTATAAATGCTATGCCTGGGCCAGCTCAGCCTGGAGCAGCGCAGCAGCACCGTGCAGCGGACTCGAGGGAAAATCGGTTATGGCATCCTCCTGAGCAAGGAGCCCGATGGCGTGTGGGCCTACAACCGCAGCCACCACCCCATCTTCGTCAACTCCCCCACGCTGGATGTGCCAAACAGCAGGACTCTGGTGGTGCGGAAGGTCATGCCTGGATACTCCATTAAAGTGTTTGACTATGAGCGCTCAGGCCTGCTCCGCCACAACCCAGACACACCCCTGGACGGACCCTTCGATCCCAACAGTGTCAGGATCAGCTTTGCTAAAGGCTGGGGCCCCTGCTACTCCAGACAGTTCATCACCTCCTGCCCCTGCTGGCTGGAGATCCTCCTCAACAATCACAGATAACAACTAAACTGTCCAAATATCTGCTACCTAGATTTAATATAAAGTTTTATATATTATATGAAATATATATTGTACTTGTAAATATGGAGTCATTTTTACAATGTCATTATTTATGTATGATGCAATGTGTATATGGACAAGAGGAAAAAATGGAAAATGCACTTTGGCTTATATATTATATAAATGTATTAAGACAATAAATCTTTCAATACCGACCTGAAATGACACATATGGATACACCTGGATTTGATGAATAGTTTTATATATATTAATATCCAGTCAAACAAATAGCAATCACACATTCATAATAAAGCATTAAAAACAACAGTTTTTTCTTTTAACAACAGACTCTCTTCTTTTGATCGCTGAGTTTTCTGCTGAATCGTCCAAACCCTTTTCTTTTCACAAACTTCCATAATGGAGACGTCTGTGTTTTATTAGCCAGTTGTCCTTGAGGTCCCAGGAGTCTTTGCTGCGGGACGATGAGCGCCTTGAGTGCGTGTCCCCCTGATGTGTCCCCCTCTAAACGTCTCCTTGGGCTCCACACTGACCGCTGCAGAACCACCTCAGATCCTCTGGAATGTGCTCAGAATCCAGGGAGTGTTACAAGCGCGCTGGAATCTTAAACGCAGCAGCCAGGGTGGATGTGGTTTACCAGTTTCCTTCATAATGACCGGGTTGGGGATGTGAGGAGGGGGTACAGGCTTCTGCCAACTCTCTACAAAATACATTCTTTGACGCTGTGAAAAAAACCTGGGGGTGTAATGACCGCGTGTCGCCTGAGAGTGGCGCTGTGTACTGCGCTGAGAGGAGCCACATGGAGCCACCACAGACTATTGTAGCAACTGTGGATCTATTATGTCTTCTGTTGAAAGAAATACAGAAAGAATAATAACAATAATAAAAATAATAATTCAGGAAGTAAAAAAAAAAAAGAATACATGAAATATTAACAAACATATGAAATAGATTAAACAAATATAAAGGATTAAATAAATTACGAATTGTTTTATGATCAAGATGAAGCGATGGTTTATTGGTCCCACAGTGGAAACATGGCTAAAAAAGAGCAGTTTTAAAAAACATTAGCGTTATTAAAACACAAAAAACTAAAAAAAGGATAGAATCTCTAACTTGTAAACAATTATTTAGTTTTTAAATAAATATTAATAATTAACTTTAACTTTACCATGGCAACAGTGGTCTGTGTGTTCTTGACCTCTGGAAAAAACGCCAAACATCGGGCGAAACGTGTGGAACTGAGTAGGAGAACAGTTTTTCTAGACGTTTTTAAAGGTTGGTTTGGATTTGTTTCGGCCCCAAGTCGGACTGGGGAGAAAATATAAACAACGCATTCCATTCCAGCCCCCTTTTCTCCCCCTTCGTCAACCCCCTTCTTCTTCCTCTTCTTCCCCCTTCTTCCCTTCCCCTTCTTCATTTCCCCCTCCTTCCTCCTCTCTTCCCTTCACCTTCCTTCTTCTTTCTCTTCTTCCTTCTTCTTCCTCCCTTCCCTCTCCTCCTTCCCTTCATATCCCTAACCCATCTTCCGCACCATCTATGCAGCCACTCACAATGGCTTCAGCCATTGTACCATTTCTAGTGAGTGGCTGCATAGACTATGCAGCCACTATGCCTCCTACGTTATTCTTCTTCTTCTTCTTCTCTTCTTCTTCTTCTTCCACTTCCGCCAGATTTTGGCACTTTTCAGCTCTTCAACGCTTTCACCAAATTCAACAAATTATACATCGTTACGACCGGCTTCACCGTCTCATTATTGCTATTACTTTTCACACTTCCACCTTTAGCACTTTTTCAGATATTAACAAAAGTTCAAGCACTTTTTCCCATAGACTTACATTGGACCAGTACAACAGATTACTCCCCATACAACACATTACCACACTAACAATTCATTACCACAGATACAATACATTACAACATCTTACAACACTTACGGCACCTTACAACACATTTAGCACTTTAAAACTAATTCAACACCTTACAACACATTTATCACTTTACAACAAATTCAACACATTTAGCACTTTACAACAAATTCAACACCTTACAACACATTCAGCACCTTACAACACATTCAACACCTTACAACAATTTAGCACTTTACAACACATTCAACACCTTACAACACATTTAGCACTTTACAACAAATTCAACACCTTAGAACACATTTAGCACTTTACAACAAATTCAACACCTTACAACACATTTAGCACTTTACAACAAATTCAACACCTTACAACACATTCAGCACCTTACAACAAATTCAACACTGTACAACACATTTAGCACTTTACAACACATTCAACACCTTACAACACATTTAGCACTTTACAACAAATTCAACACATTTAGCATTTTACAACACATTCAACACCTTAAAACAAATTCAATACCTTACAACACATTTAGCACTTTACAACACATTTAGCACTTTACAACAAATTCAACACCTTACAACACATTTAGCACTTTACAACAAATTCAACACCTTTCAACACATTTAGCACTTTACAACGTATTTAGCACTTTACAACACTTTCAGTCCCTTACAACACATTCTTCTTACTTCTTCCTCTTCTTCCTCTTCTTTCCCTTCTTCCCCTTCTTCCTCTTCTTCCTCATCTTCCTGTTCTTCCCCTTCTTCCTCTTCTTCCCCTTCTTCCTCTTCTTCCTCTTCTTCCCCTTCTTCCTCTTCTTCCTCTTCTTCCTCTTCTTTCCCTTTTTCCTCTTCTTCCCCTTCTTCCTCTTCTTCCCCTTCTTCCTCTTCTTCCTCTTCTTCCCCTTTTTCCTCTTCTTGCTCTTCTTCCTCTTCTTCCCCTTTTTCCTCTTCTTCCCCTTCTTCCTCTTCTTCCTCTTCTTCCTCTTCTTCCCCTTTTCCTCTTCTTCCCCTTCTTCCTCTTCTTCTCCTTCTTCCCCTTCTTCTTCTTCCTCCTCCTCTTCCTTCTTCGTCTTTCCTCTTCTTCCCTTTTCTTTCTTCTTCCTTCTTCTTCCTTCTTCATCCCTAACCCTTCCAACATCTATGCAGCCACTCACAATGGCTTCAGCCATTGTACCATTTCTAGTTCTTCTTCTTCTTCTTCTTCTTCTTCTTCTTCTTCCACTTCCGCCAGATTTTGGCACTTTTCAACTCTTCAACGCTTTCACCAAATTCAACAAATTATACATCGTTACGACCGGCTTCACCGTCTCATTATTGCTATTACTTTTTAAACTTCCACCTTTAGCACTTTTTCAAATATTAACAAAAGTTCAAGCACTTTTTCCCATTGACTTACATTGGACCAGTACAACAGATTACTCCCCATACAACACATTACCACACTAACAATTCATTACCACACATACAATACATTACAACATCTTACAACACTTACAGCACCTTACAACACATTTAGCACCTTACAACACATTTAGCTCCTTACAACACATTTAGCACTTTACAACACATTTAGCACTTTACAACACATTCAGCACCTTACAACACATTCAGCACTTACAACACATTCACACTTCACTCTTCCACTTCTTCACCTTCTTCCACTTCTTCCTCTTCTTCCTCTTCTTCCCCTTCTTCCCCTTCTTCCTCTTCTTCCCCTTCTTCCTCTTCTTCCCCTTCTTCCCCTTCTTCCACTTCTTCCTCTTCTTCCCCTTCTTCCTCTTCTTCCCCTTCTTCCTCTTCTTCCCCTTCTTCCCCTTCTTCACTACTTCCTCTTCTTCCCCTTCTTCCTCCCCTTCTTCCTCTTCTTCCTCTTCTTCTTCTTCTTCCTCTTCTTCCTTCTTCCTCTTCTTCCCTTCTTCCTTCTTCATCCCTAACCCTTCCAACATCTATGCAGCCACTCACAATGGCTTCAGCCTTGTACCATTCATTAGTGCTCATAGACTATGCAGCCACTATATGCTCTCCACTGTTACCTTCTTCTTCTTCTTCTTCTTCTTCTTCCACTTCCGCCAGATTTTGGCACTTTTCAACTCTTCAACGCTTTCACCAAATTCAACAAATTATACATCGTTACGACCGGCTTCACCGTCTCATTATTGCTATTACTTTTCACACTTCCACCTTTAGCACTTTTTCAGATATTAACAAAAGTTCAAGCACTTTTTCCCATAGACTTACATTGGACCAGTACAACAGATTACTCCCCATACAACACATTACCACACTAACAATTCATTACCACAGATACAATACATTACAACATCTTACAACACATTCAGCACCTTACAACACATTTAGCACTTACACAATCAACACCTTACAACACATTTAGCACTTTACAACAAATTCAACACCTTACAACACATTTAGCACTTTACAACAAATTCAACACCTTACAACACATTTAGCACTTTACAACAAATTCAACACCTTACAACACATTTAGCACTTTACAACAAATTCAACACCTTACAACACATTTAGCACTTTACAACAAATTCAACACCTTACAACACATTTAGCACTTTACAACAAATTCAACACCTTACAACACATTTAGCACTTTACAACAAATTCAACACCTTACAACACATTTAGCACTTTACAACAAATTCAACACCTTACAACACATTTAGCACTTTACAACAAATTCAACACCTTACAACACATTTAGCACTTTACAACACATTCAACACCTTACAACACATTTAGCACTTTACAACAAATTCAACACCTTACAACACATTTAGCACTTTACAACAAATTCAACACCTTACAACACATTTAGCACTTTACAACACATTCAACACCTTACAACACATTTAGCACTTTAACACAAATTCAACACCTTACAACACATTCAGCACTTTACAACACATTCAGCACCTTACAACACATTCAGCACTTTACAACACATTCAGCACTTTACAACACATTCTTCACTCTACCACTTCTACCACTTCTTCCCTTCTTCCTCTTCACCTTCTTCCTGATTCTTCCCCTTCTTCCTCTTCTCTTCTTCACCCTTTCTTCCTCTTCTTCCCTTCTTCTTCTTTCTTCCCCTTCTTCCCTTCTTCATCTTCTTCTTCTTCTTCTTCCCTTTTTCCTGTTCTTCCTGTTCTTCCCTTCTTCCTCTTCTTCCCCTTCTTCCTCTTCTTCCCCTTCTTCTTCTTCGTCCTCATCTTCCTTCTTCTTCTTTCCTCTTCTTCCCTTTTCTTTCTTCTTCCTTCTTCTTCCCCTTCCTCTTCCTTCTTCATCCCTAACCCTTCCAACATCTATGCAGCCACTCACAATGGCTTCAGCCATTGTACCATTTCTAGTTCTTCTTCTTCCACTTCCGCCAGATTTTGGCACTTTTCAACTCTTCAACGCTTTCACCAAATTCAACAAATTATACATCGTTACGACCGGCTTCACCGTCTCATTATTGCTATTACTTTTCACACTTCCACCTTTAGCACTTTTTCAGATATTAACAAAAGTTCAAGCACTTTTTCCCATAGACTTACATTGGACCAGTACAACAGATTACTCCCCATACAACACATTACCACACTAACAATTCATTACCACAGATACAATACATTACAACATCTTACAACACTTACAGCACCTTACAACACATTTAGCACTTTACAACAAATTCAACACCTTACGACACATTTAGCACTTTACAACAAATTCAACACCTTACAACACATTCAGCACCTTACAACAAATTCAACACCTTACAACACATTTAGCACTTTACAACAAATTCAACACCTTACAACACATTTAGCACTTTACAACACATTCAACACCTTACAACACACTTTACAACACATTCAACACCTTACAACACATTCAGCACCTTACAACACATTCAACACCTTACAACACATTCAGCACTTTACAACACATTCAACACCTTACAACACATTCAGCACTTTACAACACATTCAGCACCTTACAACACATTCAGCACTTTACAACACATTCACACTTACAACACATTTAGCACTTTACAACACATTCAAACACCGTACAACACATTTAGCACTTTACAATTCAACACCTTACACACATGTAGCACTTTACAACACATTCAGCACCTTACAACACCTTTTACAAACACATTCTAGCACTGGTCGTCCCCTTCTTTCCTCTTCTTCTCAACACGCTTCTTACACGTCTCCCCCTTTCTACCCCTTCTTCCTCTTCATCCGGTTCTTCCCCTTCTGCTGTTCTTTTTCCCCTTCTTCCTCTTCTTCCCCTTCTTCCTCTTCTTCCTCTTCTTCCCCTTCTTCTTCCTTCCTCCCTTCTTCCTCTTCTTCCCCTTCTTCCTCTTCTTCCTCTTCTTCCTCTTCTTCCCCTTCTTCCTCTTCTTCCCCTTCTTCCCCTTCTTCCTCTTCTTCCCCTTCTTCCCCTTCTTCCCCTTCTTCCTCTTCTTCCCCTTCTTCCTCTTCTTCCCCTTCTTCCTCTTCTTCTTCTTCCCCTTCTTCTTCCTCCTCCTCTTCCTTCTTCTTCTTTCCTCTTCTTCACTTTTCTTTCTTCTTCCTTCTTCCCCTTCCTCTTTCCGTCTTCATCCCTAACCCTTCCAACATCTATGCAGCCACTCACAATGGCTTCAGCCATTGTACCATTTCTAGTTCTTCTTCTTCTTCTTCTTCTTCCACTTCCGCCAGATTTTGGCACTTTTCAACTCTTCAACGCTTTCACCAAATTCAACAAATTATACATCGTTACGACCGGCTTCACCGTCTCATTATTGCTATTACTTTTCACACTTCCACCTTTAGCACTTTTTCAGATATTAACAAAAGTTCAAGCACTTTTTCCCATAGACTTACATTGGACCAGTACAACAGATTACTCCCCATACAACACATTACCACACTAACAATTCATCACCACAGATACAATACATTACAACATCTTACAACACTTACAGCACCTTACAACACATTTAGCACTTTACAACAAATTCAACACCTTACAACACATTTAGCACCTTACAACAAATTCAACACCTTACAACACATTTAGCACTTTACAACACATTCAACACCTTACAACACATTCAACACCTTACAACACTTTAGCACTTTAAAAAATTCAACACATTTAGCACTTTACAACAAATTCAACACCTTACTACACATTCAGCACCTTACAACAAATTCAACACCTTACAACACATTTAGCACTTTACAAAACATTCTATACTTACAACACATTTAGCACTTTACAACAAATTCAACACCTTACAACACATTTAGCACTTTACAAAACATTCTATACCTTACAACAAATTCAATACTTACAACACATTTAGCACTTTACAACAAATTCAACGCCTTACAACACATTTAGCACTTTACAAAACATTCTATACCTTACAACAAATTCAATACTTACAACACATTTAGCACTTTAAAACACTTTCAGCCCCTTACAACACATTCTTCTTACTTCATCTTCTTCACTTCTTCCTCTTCTTCCTCTTCTTCCCCTTCTTCCCCTTCTTCCTCTTCTTCCTCTTCTTCCCCTTCTTCCTCTTCTTCCCCTTCTTCCTCTTCTTCCCCTTCTTCCTCTTCTTCCCCTTCTTCCCCTTCGTCCTCTTCTTCCCCTTCTTCCCCTTCTTCTTTCTCCTCCTCTTCCTTCTTCTTCTTTCCTCTTCTTTCTTCTTCCTTCTTCTTCCCCTTCCTCTTCCTTCTTCATCCCTAACCCTTCCAACATCTATGCAGCCACTCACAATGGCTTCAGCCATTGTACCATTTCTAGTTCTTTATTCCGTCATTTTTTTTGACACGTTTCACAGCTTTCACATTTTCAACAATTTCCACAAGTTATACATCAAAACGTTCCACATGTTTGGGAGATTATTGCTATTACTTTTGGGACTTCAGCGATTTCCGGTTTTTCCGCAATCGGACAAAAATCTGCATTGAGAATTCTGCAATGCATTTTAATAGGCCCATGCATTTTAATAGGACTTCAGCTCTTTCAGACATTTCTACAGTTTCAATGATTCAACAGTTTCAAGGATTCAACAGTTTCAAGGATTTCAGCAGTTTCAAGATTTCAAGAGTTTCAAGGACTTCAACAGTTTCAAGGACTTCAGCAGTTTCAAGGACTTCAGCAGTTTCAAGGACTTCAGCAGTTTCAAGGACTTCAGTGTAATCATGCAACCTAATAGGGATTTTTCCATGTAAACCAGTATAATGCAACTTAATAGGGATTTTCCATGTAAACCAGTATAATGCAACTTAATAGGGTTTTTTCATGTAAACCAGTATAATGCAACTTAATAGGGTTTTTTTTCATGTAAACCAGTATAATGCAACTTAATGGGGATTTTTCCATGTAAACCAGTATAATGCAACTTAATAGGGGTTTTTACATGTAAACCAGTATAATGCAACTTAATAGGGTTTTTTCCATGTAAACCAGTATAATGCAACTTAATAGGGTTTTTTCCATGTAAACCAGTATAATGCAACTTAATAGGGTTTTTTTCCATGTAAACCAGTACAATGCAACTTAATAGGGATTTTTCCATGTAAACCAGTATAATGCAACTTAATAGGGTTTTTTACAGGTGTTTATGTAAACCAGTATAATGCAACTTAATGGGATTTTTCCATGTAAACCAGTATTATGGCAACTTAATAGGGATTTTTCCATGTAAACCAGTATAATGCAACTTAATAGGGATTTTTCCTTGTAAACCAGTATAATGCAACTTCAGGACAGGACACAGAATAGGCGGACTGGACACAGTGAGCTACTGGACAGGCCACTAGAGGGCCTGGTTTTAACATGTTCATAGTTCTGACCTGAGCTTGGCAGGTTAATTAGTGTGATCAGGGGATCATGCAGTGTCACATGCAGACTGAGCCGCTACACAACTTACCGAGTTGTGATGTATGCACCGTGGGCATAAATCCAAACCGTTTACCTTTGTAGGATTCTAACCACACACAGTGTCGCCGGCCGCGGGGTCAGCAGGTCCACAGCACCCAGGGCAGGTTCTCCATCCTCCAGAAACCTGCCCAGCATTGTCTGCAGCCCATAACAGAACTCTGGACAAGGCCAGCGCACCAACCGGGCATGTGGAGCTGGCGGGCACCAGCAGGCGGGCAAAGGAAACACCTCTGCTCCGCTATGGCAACCCGCCTGCACCAGACCTCGACCCACGCCTGAGCTCCGCCCCACTGTTCGGCTGGGTGTGATAGAAAAGTTAGGAAGGCTTAAAAAAGGTCGGTCGTTCACTCGCGCCTATCGGCCAATCGGGGGGCACAGGGAGACAACCGCCGCCCCTTGCCCGAACACCCCCCTCCCATCGTCATCCCTCCGGCAGTATTACCCGTGGTGTTAGCGAGCGCAGCATCCTCCGTGGGGATCCCGTTAGTAGCGCCCGGGCTTGGGGGGCATGTTGTCAGGGAAGCGTTTTGGCCCCACTCTCTACTGAACTTACTGCATTCTCCACGGCCCGTTAAGGAGCGCCTCGACCCTCCCTGCTGATGTCCCTCTGGGTCTCTGTCGGTTGTCCTGGAGTCTATGTGATGGTCTCCTGACTGACTCCCAAAACCATCCCTCCAGACACCGTCACACATAGGAGCAGTAGTACAAGAAGCCCACCTCAATCCTGGCGGGTACCAGTAGTCCCACCACTGCTTGCTCAGTGCATTGACTAACAACTGGCCTGTTGGGTCTGCAAGATCGCGGACGGGAGCGCCTCGGACCCTCCCCTCTGCTGCCCCTTGGCCCCTCCCCCATCGCTTGGGATCCTCTTTGAATCGAGTCATTGTGGCACAAACCACAGAGCTTTGCAATAAGAAATTTCCATTTTCACAAGATATCGGGCCAAGGATAGAAGTGTTATGCAGGGGGGTCGGGGGGGGGGGGGGGGGGGGGCATGGGGAGAGCCAATTGCTGATGGTCATATGGTCACCTGTGGCCTTCAGGGACATGCAACTCATGGGATTATGGAGTTTGACTTCTGTCCCATTAGACATTACAGCCTCGAGTCTAGCACATTGCTGTTTTCGGGCACACTGTGGAAAGTTGTGCCGTGGAGTGGGGAGGCTGAGAAGTGGCAGGGCTTTTGGACAAACAGCTGAAGAAGACTGGGTCCTCGGGGAGAGCTCGGAGATGGTGCTAAATCCTCAAGATAAAGCGGGTTCTCACAGCTCCACTCCTCTGCAGCATGTCACTGCATTCCACAAGCGAACTGGGACAATCTGCACTCCAATTGTCGTTTCAGGTGCTTCCATCCACCACTAAGACACTGTATGCAGCAACTGCTGCTCATGCGGCGATGGAGATCCAGGAGGAAGGGGGAGCTGCCCATGGAGGTTTAATTCAATGTTCTGGAGCATCTGTCCCTCCTCCTGCTCAGCCACCCTCTTCTTGTAGTTTCCTCCTGTAACCTCTTCCTCCTGCAGCTCCGCCTGTAGGGCCTACAACATCTCTACTGCAGCGCTACTCTGAAGCCCTCTTTCTCCTGCACCCTCTCTTCCTCCTGCAGCCTGTCTTGTAGCCTCCTCTCCTGCACCCTCCTCTTCCTGCCTGCAGCCTTCTCCTCTGTGGCCTCCTCCTGTACTTCTCCTTCTACTTCACAAAGGCCTGGATTGTATTAGAGGTTGGATCTTATGTGAGTAGGATTAAACTTGCCCCGTCAGGCCGTGTCTCCAGGCGAAATGCAGGGGATCGAGGTCAAGTATGGGGAGCATGGGGGTTTGCAGGAAGGATCTGTTACATGTCCCATGTGTAGTTCATGTTATCTTTGGCATTGTAAGAAAGGAGCACCAATGAGTCACCATTTGAATCTTTCAGGTGAGAATTATGGTTGGGTCTCTTTATATGTCCTGGCTCTGGTCTCCTCGGTCTATTGGTACCTCTTCTGGTCATCTCTCTGGTCACTCTCTGGTCTCTCTGGTCTCTCTCTCGGTCTCTCTCTGGTCTCTCTCTGGTTCTCTCTTCTGGTCTCTCTCTGGTTCTCTCTGTCTATCTCTGGTCTCTCTCTAGGTCTCTCTCTGGTCTTCTCTCGGGTCTCTCTCTGGTCCTCTCTGGTCTCTCTCTGGTCTCTCTTCGGTCTCTCTCATGGTCTATCTCTGGTCTCTCATGGTCTCTCTCTGGTCTCTCTCTGGTCTCTCTCTAGTCTCTCTCTGGTCTCTCTCTGGTCTCTTCTCTCTCTGGTCTCATTCAGTCTCTCTCTGGTTCTCTTTCAATTCTCTCATTTACACCACACACAACACACACATTACAAACACCATTCACAAACAATTAACTAACATTACCCACACACATTACCAATCAATATCCCCCCACTATCCTCCCCCCCCCCCCACAAAATCTCTCTCTTCCACCATATAAATAAACCCTAACAAAATCATCTTAAATCCCTACCTTACCACCTCAATCCCCTATACTAATCTAACACCATATATCAACACTTTCCCCCCATCCCCTCCCCTAATATCTATATAACCCCAATCTCTACATCAAACACATCTCCATTATACCATTCCATCCCCTATTCACTTCATATTAAACACCACTTTTCACCCAACATCCACCATCCCATCACCAACCAATCACACATACCACACTCCCTCCCCCTTCCCCCCCTCTCCCTTTCTCTTCTCCCCCCTTTCTCCTTCTTCTCCTCCCCCCCCTTCTACTTCTTTCTTCCCCCCCTCTAACCCCCCCCCCCCCCCCCCCCCCCCCCCCCCCCCCACAAACCCCCTAAATCAACCCCATTCCAACCCAAATCATAACCCCAATATAAATTCCCCCTCCCTCCCCCATTCCCCCTATCCCTACCCCTCACACTAACTCCCACCCACCATACCCAAACACAATAAAAAAACCCCCCCCAAACCCCCCCCCCCCCCCCCCCCCCCCCCCCCCCCCCCCCCCCCCCCCCCCCCCCCCCCCCCCCCCCCCCCCCCCCCCCCCCCCCCCCCCCCCCCCCACCCACCCAAACCCTAAATAATACCCCCCCTTATATTATATCCCCCACCCCCCCCCCCCCCCCCCCCCCCCCCAATATATCCCCCCCCCCCCCCCAAACACACACACCCCCCCCCCCCCTTCTGAACATTAATTAACGTTTTCTTATCTTATCTGAGCTGAATGGAATCATTGGTGCTCTGTCTCCAAAGAGATTCCTTTTTGGTGCCATTACGTGACGTTAGGCACAGTTTTATAAGCTTAAAGTTTCGAGCAGACTCCATAAATGTAATTGAGGATAATATGAAGTGTTGGGGTTGGGGTACAGGGTTAAGGCAGTTTTAAGGTATTTAGGAGGATTTTCTACTTCCGGGGGGATCAACAAAACTATTGGTCATTTTAATTGTCAATCATTCTGCTGATCGTTGCTTGTCAAATTAGACCAGAGAGTTTTCTTATTCAAACAGTGAAGAGGGCGGTTCTTTTCTAAAACTTGTGGAAATATTGGGAAATACCAACCTGCTGGATGGCTTGCCACCTGCTGGATGAAATACCAAGAATTTAGTGAGCCCCGACATACTGTATGAAGGGATGAGCATCATCAGGTTTCAGTAACATGAAAATTTGCAGCTTCTTTTTGTAATGTTAGGGTTTTATAAAAATGTAACCGGTTGATAAACAGGTGCTCAAACTCCCGAGGATTTAATCTAACTTTGTGAATGCTGTTTTTTTCTTTAATGCAAAACAAAGTCAAAAAGGGAATTTCTCTAGAGATGTGTTCTTGGGCCCCCTGATGATAGGAGGCCCGAGACAGGAGCCCCCCCATCTCCTAACAGTAGATCCGGCCCTGGCAAGGAAAGGGGCAGTGGTGTGATGAGGCTCTAGGTTCATGGGGTCTTCAATCTTGTGCGTGACCATGGAGAGTGCAGGACACGAGGGTCACACACACACACACACAGAGAGAGAGAGAGAGGTGGGGAGCAGCGTCTCTAACTAAGGTTCAATAAGAATAAAAAACGCAGACGAGGAACTAAAAACACATGCACTATTACAGCCCCCTGACCCTGAGCCTCTGGACCAACACACACATTAATGCACTGGACATGAGTGGAGTCTGTCTCTGCATTAGAGGATTTTACTTTCTGTTTTGTTGGACTTTACTTTCATTTCCTGGATACTGGACACCCTCAGCTCCAGTTCTCTCTTTTCTGTGCACTGCCACAAAGACAGGGAGCTAAAAGAATCCCATCATACGTTCACGTGTGACAGGGCTGCAGCAGTTTGGATCAAAATCGCATAATATCTGACATTTTCAACCCTGGGATTTTTCATACAGAGACCTCAGAGTTCCACTGTTTCCAACAAAGAGATAAAGCCAGGGTCCCTAACTTTGAAACCACCACAATGTTACAAAATCTATCTCTCAACACAGAAGTGGGAGGTCTAATGATCAGTAGTAAAAAAAAAAAGTCAATCACGTACACAATAATTATACACTAATCTCAGGTCGTAGAAATGAAACAAAATGTGTAGATGCAAAATGCATGTAATTCGCTCCTCGTTCTCTAACTAACCCTCTCTCAGCCAATCAGCGCTCAGCCCAAAGAGTCAAATAGTGACTCTCAAGTAGGCTAAAGATATGTTTCTTTACTCATAAGATGAAGATGCTGTGGTCCAGTGTATAAAACATAAGACTTTTGGTGTTTGGACAAACAACCCAGCTAACATACTCAGCTGCAGGGAGCAGCAGAGGGTGAAGGGATCAGACAAGCCCAGGCCGAGGCTCATTCCTCAGGATCAGGTGCAGTCCTCTCCCCTTGTCCCTGTCAGACTGTGGAGGGTGAGCTCATGGAAAGGAGCCCACTTAGAGCCCACTTTGAGCTGACAGACGGCCTCAATCTGTCCGACCGTGATAATCCTCTTTGTTTAAATTAAGGCTAATTTCAGAGCAGAAACACAACAGCAGCCGTTGGTTTTCTCTTGTTACTTCTGTCTTTGAGATCTGCAGCAGCTCCAGAGTCAAAACTCAATATCATCTGTAGGTTCTGACAGTTTGTGAACAATTCAGATCTTTTAAATACTTGTAAGAAAGAGTGGGTCACTATCTGGTGCTTAAATGCTGATTGGCTGAGTGGTCCTCTCTATTTCACTTTTCTGTCTGAAAAAGCAGATTTTAAGATATGACAGAGGCCAGATACATGACAGGGAAACTATTGTTAGGAGCAAAATGGTTTAGAGCCAGGAACTCTGTGTGTGTGTTTTGATTTTGTGTATGACAGGGCCGTCTGAACCCTGAACCCGCTGCCAACCATGTGCCATCGTGCCGTGGGTAAACATTGCGTTTCCTGGTCTTCCCCGCGGGCAATGAAATTAAAACGTGTCTCAAAGTGTAACATGCTGCGATATCTGCCACAAATTTAAGTCCCATGACTACAAGATGGACATGTTGTCATTTACAAATCATTTACAAAACCTGAGCTGAACTCACTCCAGCCACTAGTTTCACAGCAGACCATGTGAGATCCAAACCAGGACTAGAAACCGCTGGAAAGAGCTCTCAAACTACTGTAACTATTACCCAATACTCCCTTCTGACCCTGTTGCCCCCGATTACATCACTAATACACCCTTATTACACCCTTATAACACAACTACACACTTATTACACTAAAAAGATCAAAAACATGTAAAACATAAAATAAAAAAATAAACGTCCCATTATGACCATAGACGTATAAATGTATGTCTATGATTATAACAGGGATTAAAAAGTGCCACTTAGCATCTGTAGTATTTGCAAATGCAGCAAAATCTACAAAAGGTAAATGTCCCAAAAGTAATGCTTAGGTCACACCGTTATGAAAATCAGAAAAGTGAAAGAACATCTGGAAATAACAACTTTCAAAAGAGATGAGAAAACAAAGACGTTTCTATTTAAATTAATTATAATACATTACTTCAAAGTACTGCAATACTAAAAGACTTCGAAGTTTAAACTCCAAAATCCAAAACGTTCAAAACATCAAATAAAAAGGCAAAACATTGAAAAGGTGTAATTTTTCAAAAAGCCCCGTTGTAAAAGAAAGGAAAAATACAACTTTAGGCGCAAATATTTCAAATACGTCAAAAGTTACATACACCAAAAGTAATAGCCCCAAGACACGGAGAAACTGCGCAACCTTAGACTGGTACAACACGTGAACATTTATGAAAGAGTTGAAACGCGTAGAGAAAAGAAGACAGAAGATATCAAATCGATTAAATAAATTTATGCAGTCACTCTATAATACTTTGTCTGCAGCTGAAGGGTGAATGTTCTAAATCTCTGGACAGTATTTGTGCACGAGCAGCTGGTTGTTGGGTTCACAGCTACACGTCGTTAACATAAAAATATACATTAAAATTTCACGAGCACAACACAGACTACACACATTGCCACAGTAGCCCTGTCGTGGATAGAACCACGCTGCACAGGGCCGGTCTGACCCGGGTCTGTGGTCACTGGTCAGGGATGGACAGTACCTGGAGTCTGCTGGTCCGTGCGTGTGGCCAGCATCAGCATCAGGAGCGCGCACCACGGCGACCCCCGGGAGCGTGCCTGTGTCATCCTCCGAGGCCTGGTGCAGACGGGACTGTGGATTCACCTGTGGGACGTGCGTGCACCTCAGGGCCCCTGGTGCAGCTGACGGGGGCCAGCTCAAGCTCTTCCGCCCGGGCCCGTCTCAGTAAAAGCAGCGACACACGCGCAGGAAGGAGGTTTGTTTTTGTCCTGCTCTAACCCTGGTCTGCCCTTACCCTGGCCTGCCCAGGTCTGCCCTGGTCAGACAGCAGGTCAGACACACCTTTAATTAGTGTCTCTCCACAGATGTAAAACTCAAGGCCCAAGGGCCAAACGCGGCCCACACTCCAGCCACACTCCAGTTCATTGGTCCAAAGCAGTATTGATGATAAGGTTTCTATGAGCCATAGCTGTTTCTAATTTTCTCAAGAAAAAAACAACCATAATTTGTTTTACTGTACATTTTGAACACATAATAATATTTTTTTAATTTGAAAATATACATATTTGGTCTAACCTTTAACTCTGACCCAGTTTGGATTCAGTCTAAAAATCTTAATTGTGTGAAAATGTTCAAAGATTCAAACCCTGAGGAGATATTCTGTTTTATCTCCGCCCCCTGGAGTACACGCTGTGGTCACAGCCCACGGAGCTGCGAAGTGGGCGGGGCTTATAGTTTATGAAAGTACAAATCTCCGATCTAAACCAGAGCATCCAATCAAAAAAGCTAATCACATGATGCTGCATGAGAAAGCATCTGCTGATCAGAGCCCTCAGCTCTACTTTACTCTACTTTACTTTACTTTACTCTACTTTACTCTACTGTACTCTACTTTACTCTACTTTACTCTACTTTACTCTACTTTACTTTACTTTACTTTACTTTACTCTACTTTACTCTACTTTACTCTACTCTACTTTACTCTACTTTACTCTACTTTACTTTACTTTACTTTACTCTACTTTACTCTACTTTACTCTACTCTACTTTACTCTACTTTACTCTACTTTACTTTACTTTACTTTACTTTACTTTACTTTACTCTACTCGACTTGTCCCTTGCCTGGCCTGCCAGACACTCCTCCTTTCTGTTCAAAAGAAGAACCGTCTGGACACCTCTTCCTAGCCTATCATTTCACGATTTTACCCACATCGGTCCAATAACGCACCGAGAGGCGGGACTTCCTTTCACCTTTGAGTTGCTAATAACTCCTCGTATCTTTAAGTTTTTGTTACAAAATCGACAGCAGTCGTTTACATTTGCACTAGCTGACATGCCGCCATCCCTTGTTTTGTGTTTACTGAAACGGCTTGGGTGCCGCTAGTTGCTGCGTCATATCCTGTGTGCATCTAATTGGTTGATGCAGTCTGTCAACCACGCCCACCGGGAATTCGCTGAGATCAAGCTCGTTCCCAGACTATATGTCTTTGAAAAAGCATATCGTTTGGCAGGCCAGGCAAACTTGTCCCCTGATTAGCAGTGTTTCCACTTGCCCTGTCTGACCGGTAGAAGAGAGATGAGTAGATTAGGACTCAGTGGAGGCTCATGGCTGAAACATACGTCATGTGACTAAACAAACACTGGTCATGTGACTTCATTCTGAACGTTCTGGAGGAGACTGATGAAGCGTGACAGTTTCCATCTTTGTGAGTCTAAGAACAGACACTGGCTGAGCTGAAGCTGACAGACCTAGGTCTGTCGGGACATGTCCTCATCCCGTCTCCCCCAACTCCCCCGTCTCCCCCTCTCTCTCATTCCATCCATCATCATGTGTCAAAGCTCATTTTGAAGGCTGTACTTACACAGTGACCTGTAAATGAGCAAGGCACTTACCCACATCACTCACTGTGAGGAGCCGCAGGGTCTGAACCAGGTCTGAACTAGGTCTGAACCAGGTCTGAACCAGGTCTGAACCAAGTCTGAACCAGGTCTGAACCAGGTCTGAACCAGGTCTGAACCAGGACTGAACCAGGACTGAACCAGGACTGAACCAGGACTGAACCAGGTCTGAACCAGGTCTGAATCAGGGCTGAATCAGGACTGAACCAGAAATGAACCAGCTCTGAACCGAACCTCCTTGTCTGTCTCTTTGCCTCCTTGTCACATACAAACATAGGGAGAAAATTGGACAGTCTTCTCTTTGTGAATTTGAGAAAAGCTGTGAAACCGTCCTTCTCTCTGACAGCTGCAGACTTCACCGTTAGACAAGGCTTCCAGTTCACTGCATCATGACCTCCTGACTCTGCTCCCCCTGACTCTGCTGATCCCCCTGACTCTGCTCATCTAGTCAATAAGTACACTTGTATTTTGTTTATTATGAGTGATATGAGTGAAGCTGTAGATCCAGGACTGAGGCTTTAGATCCAGGACTGAGGCTGTGGATCCAGGACTGAGGCTGTAGATCCAGGACTGAGGCTGTAGATCCAGGACTGAGGCTGTAGATCCAGGACTGAAGCTGAAGATCCAGGACCGAGGCTGTGGACCCAGGACTGAGGCTGTAGATCCAGGACTGAGGCTGTAGACCCCGGACTGAAGCTGAAGATCCAGGACTAAGGCTGAAGATCCAGGACTGAGGCTGTAGATGACATACCGTAATCCTTCGTTAGAATCAGCAGACCTGTTATAAGTTGAACTGCCTGCATGTCTTCTGTACTTCCTCGTTCTACCAGCAGATAGCACAATAGACACAATGTGGTTTGAAAACCTCATTATTATTTATTGTACCTTATTTGATACAAGATGTGATCTGTTACTCATAAAATGGGTCTCTAAGATGTAGTTAGCACCATATATTTAACACCAAGGTCAATATCTTCCATATATCTGAAGTTTAAAACGATATACTCATACAACTACACTCCTGTGCTCTACTCAATAACACTGGATGGATAGTAAAAGTCAAAGAATTGAAATTATTGTGGAACAAAAGGAATGGTTTTGTCTTTTCTGATTTTTATTATTTAGGATCACAACATTGTTATAACTTATAGAAATAAGGTGTTTACTGTTTCATGTGATGGTTGCATGTTTTGTGCTTTGACATTCTTAGATAACCAATAAGAACACTGTCTGGGCTCTCTCTGCTCTCTCTCTGCTCTAGCTCTACTCTCTTTCTGCTCTCTCTGGTCTCTCTCTAGTTTCTCTCTCTGCTCTCTCCCTAGTCTCTCTCTGCTCTGTCCCTGCTCTCTCCCTGCTCTATCTCTACTCTCTTTCTGCTCTCTCTGCTCTCCCTCTGCTCTCTCCCTGCTCTCTCTCTGCTCTCTCCCTACTCTCTCTCTGCTCTCTCCCTGCTCTCTCTGCTCTCTCTGCTCTCTCCCTGCTCTCTCTGCTCTCTCCCTGCTCTCTCTGCTCTCTCCCTGCTCTCTCTGCTCTCTCTGCTCTCTCCCTGCTCTCTCTGCTCTCTCTGCTCTCTCCCTGCTCTCTCTGCTCTCTCCCTGCTCTCTCTGCTCTCTCTGCTCTCTCCCTGCTCTCTCCCTGCTCTCTCTGCTCTCTCCCTGCTCTCTCTGCTCTCTCTGCTCTCTCCCTGGTCTCTCCCTGCTCACTCTGCTCTCTCCCTGCTCTCTCTGCTCTCTCCCTGCTCTCTCTGCTCTCTCCCTGCTCTCTCTGCTCTCTCCCTGTTCTCTCTGCTCTCTCCCTGCTCTCTCTGCTCTCTCCCTGCTCTCTCTGCTCTCTCCCTGTTCTCTCTGCTCGGTCTCTGCTCTCTCCCTACTCTCTCCCTGCTCTCTCTTGAGGACCATCACAGCGCTACAAGAAGCCGTTAGCTTGGATCATTAGCAGCAGTGCTATTATGGCCATGCTAATACTGCAAATGTAAGCAGCCCTGGAACTGCAAGGTCAGGGTCACCACCGACTCAAAACAACCAGGACAGACTCAGAATATATAATCTCAGTCACTCTCTCCAATGGAAACAGCCATGCTAGTCATCTCAGAGACTTAACAAAACCATTGAAATCACCAACACAGATCAGAGAATCAACAGTTACAAAATATACACATATGAATTGGTCCATAGGGAGAGACCAATGTCCATGGTTGATTGTTCATTCATGTTGGAGAATGTTAAAGTGTCCTGTCCAAAACAAAACAGGAAGTAGAACTGAGGAAGACACAGGAGTCGACCAATCACAAAACAAACAACTGAATCATGACACTAGCTCCGACGGCAAAGCTCTGTTGGTGAAAAATAGCTGAGATTAGTGCATAACTGTTCCGCCTCACATACACGTCCCAAAGTGCTACGATTACAGTCATTTATGGTATCAGCGAGTGAGTGGTTAGGCCTGCAGCTCTCTCTCTCTGTGGAGGTTTCTTCTTCTGCTGTTTGTGCGAGCAAAACACTGGCAGAATATGTCCGTACAGGCCTCTCTGACCGAGCCATATTTACTTGTCTCTCTCTGGTCTCTCTCTGGTCTCTCTCTAGTCTCTCTCTGGTCTCTCTCTAGTCTCTCTCTGGTCTCTCTCTTGTCTCTCTCTGGTCTCTCGCTGGTCTCTCTCTGGTCTCTCTCTGGTCTCTCTCTAGTCTCTCTCTGGTCTCTCTCTAGTCTCTCTCTGGTCTCTCTCTGGTCTCTCTCTAGTCTCTCTCTGGTCTCTCTCTAGTCTCTCTCTAGTCTCTCTCTGGTCTCTCTCTAGTCTCTCTCTGGTCTCTCTCTGGTCTCTCTCTAGTCTCTCTCTGGTCTCTCTCTAGTCTCTCTCTGGTCTCTCTCTGGTCTCTCTCTGGTCTCTCTCTTGCACTCTCTCTGGTCTCTCTCTGCACTCTCTCTGCTCTATCTCTGCTCTATCTCTGCTCTATCTCTGCTCTATCTCTGGTCTCTCTCTAGTCTCTCTCTTGCACTCTCTCTGGTCTCTCTCTAGTCTCTCTCTTGCACTCTCTCTGGTCTCTCTCTCTAGTCTCTCTCTGCTCTATCTCTGCACTCTCTCTGGTCTCTCTCTAGTCTCTCTCTGCTCTATCTCTGGTCTCTCTCTGGTCTCTCTCTAGTCTCTCTCTTGCACTCTCTCTGGTCTCTCTCTAGTCTCTCTCTTGCACTCTCTCTGGTCTTTCTCTAGTCTCTCTCTGGTCTCTCACTGCTCTCTCTCTGCTCTCCCTCTACTCTCTTCCTCTCTCTTTCTCTCTACGTTCTCTCAGCTCTCTCTCGCTCACTGTCTCACCGCTCTCTCCTCCTTTCCATATTCTCCAAACCAGTCTGTAGCAGTTTTGACATCAATGCGTTCGCTGTGCGCCACACAAAACGCTCCCCAGAGACAGGATCTGCCCTGAATGAGTTTTTCTCCAGTTTCTCGTCCTTTTGATTACACAAACTACAAACCGCCTGCCTCTCCCCTCCTCTCTCTCCTCCTCTCTCTCCTCCTCTCTCCCCTCCTCTCTCTCCTCCTCTCTCCCCTCCTCTCTCCCCTCCTCTCTCCCCTCCTCTCTCTCCTCCTCTCTCTCATCTTGCTGACAAACTGCTGAAGGAGCATCTCTGAGATGGTGATGGATCTACACTACAGACCTGACTGTGTGGTGCACATGAGGATAAGGACCTCTCCCACGGCTGCCTCACACGCTGACGTTTATGTCCCTCCATCTCCCCCCATCTCCCCCCCTCTCCCCCACACATCTCCCTCATCTCCCCCACACATCCCCACACATCTCCCCCACACATCTCCCTCATCTCCCCCACACATCCCCACACATCTCCCCCACACATCTCCCTCATCTCCCCCACACATCCCCACACATCTCCCCCACACATCTCCCTCATCTCCCCCACACATCCCCACACATCTCCCTCATCTCCCCCCACACATCTCCCCCACACATCTCCCCCACACATCTCCCCCACACATCTCCCCCACTCATCTCCCCCACACATCTCCCCCACTCATCTCCCCCACACATCTCCCTACATCTCCCCCACTCATCTCCCCCACTCATCTCCCCCACTCATCTCCCCCACACATCTCCCTACATCTCCCCCACTCATCTCCCCCACTCATCTCCCCCACTCATCTCCCCCACACATCTCCCCCACACATCTCCCTCATCTCCCCCACACATCTCCCCCACACATCTCCCCCACTCATCTCCCCCACACATCTCCCCCACACATCTACATGATTAAATCCATGCTCTTCCATTAAGTGACTGATTCAAGAGCAGCGTAATTATTACACTGTCCCCGGGACCAGCAGAGTGACAGACTGGCAGCGGTCAGGAGCCAGCGCCATCATGGATCCAGGCCATGAACGCTCTTTCAGGGTAATTCACAACTTCACAACCAGCACCAGAGAGAGAGACAGAGAGAGAGAGAGAGAGAGAGAGAGACCAGTCAGAGAGACAGAGAGAGAGAGAGAGAGAGAGAGAGAGAGAGAGAGAGAGAGAGAGAGACCAGTCAGAGAGACAGAGACAGAGACAGAGAGAGAGAGAGAGAGACAAGTCAGAGAGACAGAGACAGAGAGAGAGAGAGAGAGAGAAAGAGAGACACCAGTTGGAGAGAGAGAGAGAGACACCAGTCAGAGAGACAGAGACAGAGAGAGAGACCAGTCAGAGAGACAGAGAGAGAGAGAGAGAGAGAGAGAGAGAGAGAGAGAGACCAGTCAGAGAGACAGAGACAGAGACAGAGAGAGAGAGAGAGAGAGAGAGAGAGAGAGAGAGAGACCAGTCAGAGAGACAGAGACAGAGAGAGAGAGAGAGAGAGAAAGAGAGACACCAGTTGGAGAGAGAGAGAGAGACACCAGTCAGAGAGACAGAGAGAGAGAGAGAGAGAGAGAGAGACACTAGTCGGAGAGACAGAGAGAGAGAGAGAGAGAGAGAGACCAGTCAGAGAGAGAGAGACAGAGAGAGAGAGAGAGAGAGAGAGACACCAGTTGGAGAGAGAGAGAGAGACACCAGTCAGAAAGAGAGAGAGAGAGAGAGAGACACCAGTCAGAGAGACAGAGAGAGAGAGAGAGAGAGAGACACCAGTCGGAGAGACAGAGAGAGAGAGAGAGAGAGAGACCAGTCAGAGAGACAGAGACAGAGAGAGAGAGAGACACCAGTTGGAGAGAGAGAGAGAGACACCAGTCAGAAAGACAGAGAGAGAGAGAGAGAGACACCAGTCGGAGAGACAGAGAGAGAGAGACACCAGTCGGAGAGATAAAGAGAGAGAGACGGACACGAGTCGGAGAGAAAAAGAGAGAGAGAGACGGACACAGTCAGAGAGAAAAAGAGAGAGAGACGGACACCAGTTGGAGAGAAAAAGAGAGAGAGAGACGGACACCAGTTGGAGAGAAAAAGAGAGAGAGAGACGGACACCAGTTGGAGAGAAAAAGAGAGAGAGAGACGGACACCAGTTGGAGAGAAAAAGAGAGAGACGGACACAGTCAGAGAAAAAGAGAGAGAGACGGACACCAGTTGGAGAGAAAAAGAGAGAGAGAGACGAACACCAGTCGGAGAGAGAGAGAGAGAGAGAGAGACAGACGGACACAGTCAGAGAGAGAGAGAGAGAGAGAGAGAGAGACAGACACAGTCAGAGAGAGAGAGAGAGAGAGACAGACGGACACCATCCATCCATCCATCCATTTTCTTCCCCTTAATCCATTTCTGGGTCGGGGGGGTGGCAGTCAGAGCACCCAGTACACAGAGCACCAGCCCCTCACTGATCCTCCTGCAGGTGCTGAGTCCACAGGAGCTGAGATCTTTCAGTTGGGGCTTTGGGCAAAGTAGGGTTAAGTGTCTTGCCCAAGGACACAACGACAGCAGTCGTCAGTGGGAGTCGTGAAGTAGGTCTTACGGTGGGCTCAAACCCACGACCTTCAGGCCCAAAGGCCAATGCTCTACCAACTGAGCTACTGCCGCCCAGACGGACACCAGTCGGAGAGAAAAAGAGAGAGAGAGACGAACATAGTCAGAGAGAGAGAGAGAGAGAGAGAGACAGACGAACACCAGTCAGAGAGAGAGAGAGAGAGAGAGAGAGACGAACACCAGTCAGAGAGAGAGAGAGAGAGAGAGAGAGACAGATGGACACAGTCAGAGAGAGAGAGAGAGAGAGAGAGACGAACACCAGTCAGAGAGAGAGAGAGAGAGAGAGAGAGAGACGAACACCAGTCAGAGAGAGAGAGAGAGAGAGAGAGAGACAGATGGACACAGTCAGAGAGAGAGAGAGAGAGAGAGAGAGACGAACACCAGTCAGAGAGAGAGAGAGAGAGAGAGAGAGACAGATGGACACAGTCAGAGAGAGAGAGAGAGAGAGAGAGAGAGAGACAGACGGACACAGTCAGAGAGAGAGAGAGAGAGAGAGAGTTCATGGGAATAATGGCGTCTTCACCGGAGAAAAAAACCTCCAATGTTAAAACACATCTCATCACCCACTTCATGCTTTACTTTATTTATTTAATTATTTAATGTAATTTCTTGTCCTGTATAATCAACAAGACCTACTTCACGACTCCCACTGACGTCTGCTGTCGTTGTGTCCTTGGGCAAGACACTTAAAGACCTTATGACGGGTTTTTAAAAAAAAATTGTGGATATCAAAATTGCATGACAATGTCAATTTGAAAGAGATTCCGGCAAAAAAAAAAATCCTATATTTTATAAAAAGAACGTGTTTTTCATGAATTTAAGCTGTCTATGCTCTAACCTGTGTGTGACGTCATAGCGGGTTACGCCCATGCATTGAAAACCATGGATCTATGCCACAGGACTGCCTTTTCTCTCTTCTCTCCACTGATGCCCAACACAATACTGCCCTCTACAGGTGACAATTGCTCACTACACATAAATTGCCGTTTTGAGTGTGAAAAAGTGTCCAAGGTGGGATTTGAACCCAAGTCTCTGGATTGGCAGTCCATCGACACAACCACTGGACTATCTCAGTGACAACGAAATGATACATTCTAGTAGTTATCTTAGACTCGCTGTACACGGCCTTGTCATCTTGAATATCCGCGAAAAAATAATGAATACCAAATTGTAAACAACTTACAGCGTTGAAACGTACCCGTTCTGACGTCACCAAGGGCTGTGAAGTTTTTTCGTTTCTAAGGGCGTTGCTATATGGTTATTTCGATTTGGGGGGATCAGACAAAAAAAACAACAACTGATTTTGAAACCTTTAGTAGTTCTCTTCTAATACAAAATGGTATTAAAACTGTATTTCTAAATAAATAAAACCCGTCATAAGGTCTTTAACCCCACTTTGCCTGAAGCCCCTGCTGAAAGTTCAAGGCTCCTGTGGACTCAGAGAGATAGCATAATAAAGAAGCTAGTATAAAACCTCTAGCTTTAGCATAATAAAGAAGCTGTAACACATGTATATATAGTTGTATACCTCTGTTAGCAGCACGAGGGTGTGGCTTCTGTATTGCACATTCTGACATGATTTCACATTATTGCACTGATACAAAGTCGTGACAACTCAGTTACCCAGAATGCACTATGTCTAAGCTGTTCTCAGGAGGAAAAATAGGCTGCTTCTTTGTGTTAAAACTTGGAAAAGCAGTGATCTCGGCTCATCAGCAAAGACATGTTTTTCAGTGGTAGGGGAAAACGGAGCACCTGGAGGAAACCTACGCAGACACAGGGAGAACATGCAAACTCCACACAGAAAGGTTTGGAGGTGGAGTCAAACCCAGGCCCTCCACGCTAACCACTCTGCCACCGTATCGCCCAGTGAATAATCAATTCAACGTATTCTTGTATCGCCCTTAATCACAACAGCTGTTTTTTCAGAGGACTTTGCGATTCGCCAACAACAGATTAGAGAATCAAACAGACAAGAAATGCTATGATACTGGGTCTGGAGCCAGCGCCATCGTGGATCTCAGCCAGAGCTCAGTCCTTCCGGATAATTCACTACTTAACATCCCACACCAGTCGAGGGAAACATCAGTGGGTTTGCGCCCGGAGCCGTCAGAGAATGTCCAATCAGACAAGGGCCCGGGAGCGCTCTCTCTTTGACAGTCTGCCCGCTCCGGCTGCTCCACATCCAACCCGACCTCTCTCTATACAACTTTTATGAGCCTCCATCTCGACCGCTCAATCTGTTTTCTAATGACCACTGAAGGATTCCTGATGCTGTCTAATTTGCAGGGATCTAAAGGTTACAGGTGCAGCCATGCGCACACTCGGGCCGGGAGCAGGACCACCTCTGGCGCTACGGTGGCGTGGCGGGCGGGAGTCGTTAGGAGACAGGCGTCGTTAGAGCAGAGCCACGTGTCCCGGCGCCAAAACGGCCTCAAACTCTTCCGTGATGCAAAACAATCTGCTTTCAACAATAAACAGCCTGAAGAAGATATCGGCAACGACAGAAGCAGGACCAAGAACAAGTCTCTCACCAGACATTTATCATCCATGGATAATTGTGTATTTTAATTATTTATTTATTCATTTTTTTTGGCATTGCAGGTCAACACAGAACAAAACAAGCTTGTAACTGACGCAAAAAGAGTTTATAGCTATTGCTAATTTTTAACTCTAATTTAATATTTTATTTATACTTTTAATTATTATTTTTGTATCATTTGTATTTATTGTAGATGACAAATTTACAAGAAAAATAAAAGGTCAATTTAAAAATATTTAAAACTAAAACCTCCAAAAAAATTTAAATAAATACTACTTTAATTATTTGATCATTTGTTATTCTTTTTTGCTTCAACAGCTGCGTTTAACCAGAAAATATAGAATCTTCACTTTAAGAATACGCAATGTTTTGTTTAAATTTTACCTTAAAACGTAAAGTCAAGTATGTGTTCTTTAGCTTTAGCAAAATAAAGAAGCTGTAACACATGTATATATAGTTGTATACCTCTCAGCACGAGGGTGTGGCTTCAGTATTGCACATTCTGACATGATTTCACATTATTGCACAGATGCAAAGTCGTGACAAAG